TTGTGTAGCAGCGGAGGAACGAGATGCTTGGGTTGCTGCCATCGAAGAACAGATAGAAAAGGCTTTGCAAAATCAAATGAGTAAACCGAGTACGAGAGCCAGAGGAGGCAGAGAGGAGGTATGAGTTCTTTTATTTCTGTTTATTTATCTTATTGATAAGATATACCCTACTTTCTTCGTATTAGGTTCTGGCGTTGCGTCAACTGCCTGGCAACGACCGCTGCGCCGACTGCAGTCAAACAGCACCGGACTGGGCCAGTCTCAACTTGGGTATTTTGATATGTATAGAGTGTTCTGGCACGCATCGCAATCTTGGATCCCATATCTCGAGGTATTTCATTTCTTGATATGCTTTCTTATTCTTGCCATTGTTGACATTAATTGCATGATTTTTAAAAATTTGCATTTATATTATCAGGAATCCATCATTTACCTTAGTTTCGCTTCATACACAAACCACTCACTTCTTTAGAGTACGATCCCTCGATCTCGATGCCTGGCCAGTGGAATTCCTGGCTGTCATGCAAGCAATAGGCAATGATGCTGCAAATCGGTTATGGGAATATCACGCACCATCGGATCGACGACCTCAGCCAGATAGTCCATTGTGAGTTGATGCTCATTTTTATCAGTAGCATTAATAAAAAGTCAGTACCCAGGGTATTTTTCTCCGTGCACTAAAGCTAAACATTCTTCTGATACATGGAACTCATTTCGAATTCATAGAGTAGATAAATGGCAAGTCTTTTCCATGCTCAGAGCTCATTCTACACCTTTACTAAATTTCCATAACATAAAATCGTGAATTGCCTAGTGCAACTATGTACAGAGCTATGATTTGCATGCGAAAAATTCGTTTGCAATTTAGCACTTTTTTGACCTTAATTTCTCTTTTTCTTCATCTCGTGTAGGTTCCTTTAGAGTTTTTCTTATTATGGCAATTTCTTATCTGTTGCTACATCTTAACTTTATATAGCGCCTGAAACTGTGCGTAACTATTTGAGAAACATGAGTACTGGCGAAAAAGTATGATTTTATCAAGGCTATTCTAAGAATATCTTACATTAAAGCCTTTTATAGAGTAACTATGCTGAAAATCAGGAGTGAGACTGCTTATTGAATATTCTTGTCTTCTTGATTCATTTTCCTTTTTCAGAGAGGTCAAAGAAGCGTGGATTCGTGACAAGTACGAAGCTAAACGCTTCTTA